CAGACCCATCGGAAATACCAACAACACTTACAACACCAGTCGCAAGTTCTTCAACATCGCCACACATCGACAACATTTCACCGACTCCTGCGCAGCAGCTAACCCCCACACCTCGCGAAGTTCACAGAAGCGCCAACTTCACCGCCGCCTTTTACTCCAACTCCGACCTGTATCGACGTTCACCCGGACATCGCGCTAGCGAAGATATCTGGCACGCACGAATGGGACATCCAAGCAATACAGTGTTAAATAACACAATCGGAGCAGGCGTTCTCGACAAAGATTCACTACTTCTAACCGACGGAAGTGAGCTTCGACGGGCACGAGGAACGTGCTTTACCTGCCCCAAAGCCGACTTACCGCATCGACCCTTCACTTCTCACCACAACCCCAGCGCACCAGCTTGCGCACCACTTGAGAAGGTGTACAGCGATATCCTGTACAATCGCGAACCCGGACAAGGAGCATACAGTTATACCATCACGTTCATCGATGCAGCTACACGTTACGTTTGGCACCTCAATCTTCCGAGCAAGGACATGGCCTTCGAAGCCTTCATCGCTTGGCTTCCAGTAGCAGAACGAGAATCAGGCGAGAAACTGAAGAGCTTTCAGTCAGACGGAGGAGGAGAATACACCTCACAGAGGTTCAAGCAGTTCTTGGCAGAAAAGGGAATCAAGAGGCTCATCTCGCTTCCTTACGCCCATCAACAGCAAGGCGTGGCGGAACGGATGAATCGAACTCTTCAAAACACCATGCGCAAGTTACTGCGTGGCATGCGACTGCCCAATCACCAGTGGCCTGAAGCGATGGACCATGCTGTCATGCTGCACAACTTGCTTTCATCGACGTCACTACCGAACAACGCATCACCGCACCTGCTGTGGACAGGAAAACAGGGCAGCACAAAAATGTTAAGAGTTTTCGGCTGCATGGTACAGTACCGACCCCCATCTGCACGAGCCGGCCGATTTTCCCAACGAGCACAGTGGGGACTACACCTGGGCATCGAGAAAAATTACAACGCGTGGAAGATTTTCGACGTCCACTCCAAAGAAACAGTAGCAGCACGTGACGTCATTTTCTACGAACGACTCACCCTTCCGACATACCTTGCCAACCTGGAAGAAAATCGGGATCCCACAGGTGGCTTCCATGGTGACCGACACTTTGCCTCGGCAGCAGACGAAGCTGACTGGGACGAGCAGAACGTGGATAACGCCTCGGAAGAAGCAGGACCACTCCCTTACTGCTCCGTGCCCATCCCGATGGATGACGAAAATCCTCGCGAAAGCATCAACGCCGAAACTTATTTCGACCTCGCCGACACTGGTTACGTTACACCTGCAGAAGTCAACACCAACGAAGCAGAACGCGTAGGGCCTAACTTCATGCATAACCCAGAAGCCGGTGACGAAGCAGCTTATCCCGCGGACACAACACTCCCCCGCTACACACAGAGTGGACTTCAGATACTTGGTCTCGTCACCGCAGTCCACGGCACGGATCCTCCTAAGGAGCCTGCCACAGTTCAGCAGGCTCTGGAGGGGAGCATAGGGAAAAATGGCGTGAAGCCATGGACAAGGAATTAAAAGCACTACAGGAGCGCAACACCTGGAAGGTTGTTCCTATTGGCGCGGCACAAAACAAGACGATACTCACCGGGAAGTGGGTCTTCCGTGTGAAGACGAAAGCAGATGGCACCATCGACAAGTTCAAAGCACGCTGGGTCGTACGTGGCTTCGACCAAGAGCACGGACGCGATTTCACTGGGACATTCGCACCGGTTAGTCGACATACTTCACTACGAATTCTTCTCGCGGTCGCCGCTATGAAAAAGAAGAAACTGCGGCAAATCGACGTCGCCAATGCTTTTCTCTACGCACCTGTCGACGCAGAAATCTACGTCGAACTCCCACATGGTTCTCACGGAGAGCCCAATCAAGTCTGTCAGCTGCAAAAATCTCTGTACGGGATTAAACAGGCCCCGAAATTGTGGCAGCAGTACTTACACGCTCGGCTCACTCGCATCGGATTCAAGCAGCTGCCGCACGACCAAGGCATGTATCGATTTACGAAAGACGACGACTACATTCTACTGATCGTCTACGTAGACGACCTACTCTACATCGGATCGACCGACAACGTTACTACCTGGTTCGAAGGGGAGCTACAGAAGGATCTCACCCTCACGGTATCATCTACCGTCACGCAATACATCGGCCTCAACATTCAAGAAGGAGAAGACGCAATCTATCTCAACGCCGCAAAGTATGCCGACACCATCGCCAAACGGTTCGCACTCATGCCAACTACCATCTCTACGCCATACCGCTACACGGCAGGAAACGACAAGGCAGAATCCGCTCTACTGAAACCCGCCGGCATACGCAACTACCAGAGAAAGCTGGGATGCCTTCTCTTCGCGGCCGTCACCTGTCGTCCAGACCTATCATACTCAGCAAGCCAACTCGCCACCTACCTCAAAAGGCCTGAAGATCAACACATGAAGGAACTCGATCGCGCCCTACACTACCTCGTAAGCACTCCGACGATCGGCCTGATCTACTACAAAAACGTAACTACAACGCCCAAGCTAATCGGCTACGTCGACGCTGACCACGCCGGAGATTCTGACAACAGACGCTCGCGCACAGGCTACATCTACCGTCTCGAGCCTATCGGACCTATTTCGTGGCAGTCGAGCAAACAAGAATTAATCGCCCTCTCCTCAGCTGAAGCTGAATATATCGCACTCTGCTCAGCCACCAAGGAAGGATTGTATCTTCGCGAACTTCTGGAGGAAGCGAAGCTGGCCCAGTTACCCAGCTTCTCCCTATTTTGCGACAACCAGTCGGCAATTCGCATCGCCAACAAAAATGGATTCGCGAACAGGACGAAACATATCGCCCTGCAATATTTCTTCGTAAAGGACGAGATCGAGAAAGGAAGACTTGAGCTGTCTTATTGCCCCACATCCGAGATGGCAGCAGATTACTTGACCAAGAAGCTCGGAAAGTCGAAGTTTGAATATTGCATGCTGCTGACTGGACAGAGCCACGTCACCTGCAGCGACACTCCAGAGGCGAAGGGGAGTGTTGGAAACAAGTAATTTACAGCGCCTCTGTCGCATTGAAGATAAAGACACAAACGGAACTAATTACAGCGAAGTATCACTCGAGTCAACTATCGGAGGTTACGCGAAGGTCAAAGGTCCCCGACCTTTGACCTGACGAAACGTACAGTGCGACAGCAAGGACATATAACTGATTCGTTACAGAACAGTTACCCGAGTCGGCACTGTATCGAACCGCAACAGCAAAAACAGTTAAAATAGAACCTTTTCATATTCCTTGTAATCATATAAAAAGCTTGTATGTTTTTCTTATTATCAACTTACTTTGCCCTCACATACAAGCGCAAGGTGGTTCACAATATTTTCATTAAACGCTTCCGCTACTACATCATCCTACTCTTGAGTTCTGCCCTGCAAAGATCCTAAAGGGCTTTCTCAGCCCAATTATGGGCGCACTGACCTGCTACTTAACAAGCCCTTTTATCCCAATGGTCTAGTGGTTGGGATTCTGACACAGGCATGGGGCTTGTGCTTGGAGGGAGATGGCCAGTTGTTCTGACCGGTCACTGCGACTCTTCCTACGCCGACGATGTAGAGACACAGAGGTCCACTCAAGGCTGCTTCAGCTTGGGCACTGGAGCTGGAGCTGTGTCGGAGGCAGAGAGGTCTACTTGGTCGTCGTCAGTGGCTTCGTCTAGTGCAGAGGCAGAGATCTACGATGGTGCCATGGCTGCGCAGGAGCTCTGCTAGTTGACATTTTTGCTCGTCGACCTTGGTGAGCGGCCTCGCTCTGCATTGATCTTGTTTGCTGACAACAAGGCCATGATCCTCCTAAGTCGAGAGCCTCGAATGAAGATCAGAGTGAAGCACATTGACGTGAGGCACTTTCTCCCTTGGACTTCGTAGCCTCAGAGGCCAACACTGTCGACATCTTCACCAAGACCCTAGCGTCTACTGACCACCATAGGTTCTGTCTACAGTTAGGCCTTATTGACGCTAATGCTAGGTTGCTGTAGCATTATTTCTTGTTGCTTTCTCTGCTTGTCCTTGCATCTATATATATTTGTGAACTATTAAACTGGCCTTGTGGCCGTTTGCTTGTGCTCGGAATGTGTGGTGGCCTTGAGATCCACCCTGAACGTTCTCTTGTTTCTCTTGACTGGTCTTGTGACCATGTGTGTTTATTGCTCTTGCTATCCTTCACTTAGCCTATGGGGGTGTGTCAAACATATATATTTGTATGTGCTAGGCTGTAGTGATGCATGCATTAGAGAGTATAGGTTGTTAGGGTTTGCATTTGTACCCACCTCCTTTCCCAATCAACCATTCTGCTATGCATTACTCTTGAGGCTGTCTTGAACACCAGTCATGTTGTTCCTACGTGCCATAATCTCCACTACTTCAGTCCACTTTCACAGAATAGATACCCTACTATCACCACCATCCTCACCCTCATCATCTCCGTCCCCACTCGCCTCCTCCCATTCTCCACTCGAATCCTCTCTCCCATCTGCCTCTTCCCCTTCCATCTCCATCCCCCTCTCCCCCTCATGGTCCCTCTCCTCCTCTATGGATGCCATGAGTCGAGCCATCAGCTCCGGATGCACCTGAGAAATTTTGGGTGCAGTGCAAGGCACACGTTGAGAATCACAACATCTGTGGGTGACAAGGAAATATACGTTCCTCTCCCCCTCATGGTCCCTCCCCTCCTCCCCCTCTATGGATGCCATGAGCCGCGCAATCAGCCCCGGATGCACCTGAGAAACAGGCGAAACGAACATGTTATGAGAGAAGCATAGGGTGAAAGGGAGAAACATGCTCTCTCGCCTCCTCCGCTCCTCCTCGCCTTCTATGGATGCCATGAGTCGAGCCATGAGCTCCGGAAGCACCTGAAAAAAAGTTTGGGTGCAGCGAAAGGCAGATGTTAAGAATCGAAACAGCTGTGGGTGGCAGGGAAATATCCATTCCTCTCCCACTCATGGTCCCTCCCCTCCTCTTCTATGGATGCCATGAGGCGAGCCATGAGCTCCGGATGCACCTGAGAAATAAGCGCCAGGAGAAACGGAGGTCATCAGGTTTGGTTGCAACGGAGGCCAGAAGATGCTGAAGAGAAGAAGCTCTGAGTGAAAAGGAGGGACAAGATCCTCTCATGCCGTCCCTCTCCCTCTATCCCTGCCATCAGGTCACTGGTCACGGAGAAAAGCCATGGTATGCTAGGTAGCTTTAGCAAAGATTCCAAGGGCGATGGTCATGAATTAACACGTGGACCTCCTCTCCTCACCCTCTACCATTGCCACCAGCGAAGCCATTGCCGAATGCACACGAGATGGACGCCAATGCTCCTTAATCCTGATATTGAAGCCCCAATCAGGAGGTGATATAGTAGAGCACAGAAGCAGCGCCCATCAGCACAGTGCCCATCAGCACAGCGCCCATCAGCACAGCACCCATCAGCACAGCACCCATCAGCACAACAGCTCAGATGCCCAAGGGTGTGACCAGATTCACCTGAGAGATTTGTCAAAAGTGGTTCTCGACCAAAGCACCTTATGGAATTCAAAGCAAAGCAGGATTGAGACTTTAGTTAAGGTTCTGAGGCTCACTGATTCAAAGATGCGGTGCAGCATGCCGTCTCGCTGCCGCACCTCCACCATGCGGTGCGTGCTCACTGATTCCAAGCACGTTTCAGACTCTGGTTAAGGTTCCGAGACGCACCTCACGCTATTCATTCGAGATTCTCACCGACTCGAATATCGATGCAGCTCACCTCCACCGTGCTCACTGATTTTAAGCAGGTTTCAGATTTTAGATTTTAGTTAAGGTTCTGAGGCTCACCGATTCAAAGATGCGGTGCAGCATGCCGTCCCGCTGCCGCACCTCCACCATGCGGTGCGCGCTGACGTGGCGCTGGTTGAAACGCCCCACCACGGGCGGCGGGCAGCTGTAGCAGGCGGCACAGAGGTCAAAGCCCACTCGCTCAGGGCAGTCAAGGCATCTGTAGCGCGCCCCCACTATGGGGAAGGCCTGGTGGAGGGATAAGGGGGAGGGGAGGAACGTGAGGACGGGTAGGGCAGAGAGGGGCAGCCCAGACAGCTGTAGTGCGCTCACACTATGGGGAAGGCCTGGGAGGGGAAGAGGAGGGTGGGGGAAGAATGGAAGAGAACAAAGAATGAAAGAGGATAGAGAAGGGAGAAGGAACACCGCGCTTGGAGAGGGGTTGGACGTGAAAGGGCTTGGAAAGAGGCAAGAGAGGGATTAAGCGGAGCGGAATCAAGCACAGAAGAGGAGGAGGGAGGGGGGGAGGAGGGGGGCAGAAGGGGGCGGGCAGCTGTAATAGGTGGTGCGGTACCCCACATCCTGCCTGCACAGGTGGCCTTACACACCTCTTACGTTTTGAGGTGCCTAAAAAATCCTGCACAAGCCGCACACACCTCTCGCGTTTTGACCACAAGTCAACTCGAGCCAACTTGAATCAGCACAGGTCAAGTCAACGCACCCCGCACCCGTCACATCCCACGCTGATGTGAATGAAGTTGGCCCGCCGTGTCTCCTCCAGCTCCCTCATCAGAGCCTCCTGCTCCGCCTCACTGCCCCCCTCACTGCTCCCCTCAAGGCGCGCCAGGTCGATCCGCCGCACCACCGCATGCACGCGCTCCCACGCCGCCCGCACCGCCGTGCTCTCTCCCTCGCTCATCTGCTGTTCTCCCTCACTCGTGTGCTGCTCCCCTTCTGCCAACGCTGCACCCTCTGCTCTCTCCTCTCTTGTTCCCACCACCGCCACATCGCCTCCACTGTTCATCCCCTCCTCTCGCCTCCCTCCCTCCCCCTCAGACTGGATGCTCCCTCTCCCCCTCCCTTCCCTCCCCTCCTCTCCTGCTCTGTTCTCGTCACTCCCTGCCTCCCCCCCTTCCCTACCAGTCCGCTCACTTCTGTCCCCCTCCCTCACGCCCTCCTCTCTCACACCCTCTTCTGCACCGGAACCAGCTGCTAGCAGCCTCTCTCTCCTCTCCCTGCTCGCTCTCCTTTCTCCTCCTCCACCTCCTCCCTCCTCTCCCATTTCTCCTGTTCCCCGTCCTCCCTCCTCTCCTTCCCTCCCTTGTCTCGCACGCTCACTGCTTCCCATGCGCCCAGCACCCATCATTCCACCCCTCTCATCTTCACCCCTCATCTGCACCGTCTGATTCTCATCACGAACCCCAGCAGCCTGATCTTCCTCTCTCGTCCAAGCAATCTCAGCCGTCCCTTCACATCTGCCCTTCTCCTGCTCGGGACTCTGCAGGGCGGCAGGGAAGAGGGCGGAGAGGGCGGCGTGCAGCGGCACACATGGCTCCACCCGTCTCGTTGGCTGCACTGCCCCACACTGCACACACCGCCTGCTGTCCCTCCCTGCCACACCCGCAGCAGTACTGGCAGCAGCAGCACCAGTGGCACCACCGCCAACTGTATCACCACCACTACCACCATTTGCAGCAGCATCAGCAACACCAGTAACAACAGCAGTAGCGGTGGCAGAAGCAGCAGGGGAAGGAGGAGAAGCAGCAGCAGGAGGAGGAAAATCATCATCATCAGCAGCAGCAGCAGCAGCAGCAGCAGCAAGAGCAGCAGAAAGGGAGTGGGGTGGGAGGGTGTGCGGAGGGAGGGTGTTCGGCGGGCTGAGATGAGGTAAGGAGGGGGAGGAGAGGCGGAGGGAGATCGTGGGGGAGGAGGAGGAGGGGAGGGCGAGAGAGGGCGTGCTCGCTGAAGTGGTGAGGTGGGTAGATGCGCAGGCAGAGCAGATGACTGCAAGGGGGGAGGGATTGGGGGGAAAACAATCAGGGGAACAGGCGGGAGGAGGAGTGTATGGTTAGTAATTCTTGAGAATTCTCGAACAGGCGAGAGAGGGCGTGCTGGTGGATGTGACGAGGTGGGTAGATGTGCAGGCAGAGCAGACGACTGGAAAGAGGGGGGAGGGGGAGGGAGGGGAGGGAAGGGGAGGGAGGGGGGTTGAGGGGGAGGGAGGGGGAGGGAGGGGTGGGGCCGGGCGAAAATGAAGAGAGAGGGGAACGGGGAAACTGAGAACGGGAGGGTGTTGAAGGGTAAATGAGAAATCACAAAAGGGCGAGAGAGGGCGTGCTGGTGGATGTGGGGTGGTGGGGGACGTGCATGTGAATATAGAGCAGACGACTGGAGAAGGGATGGAAAAAGGGGAAAAGGGCAGACGGCGGGGGAGGAGGGGATGGTTGAGTAACTATCAGAATTTCTCAGAAGGACGAGCGCTTGCTGGTGGATGTGGTGACTCGTGGGGCGTGCTGGTGGATGTGGTGACTCGTGGGGCGTGCTGGTGGATGTGGTGACTCGTGGGGCGAAAAACCCAGAGAGTCTGACGGGTGCGTGAATGAAGGGCGGCACGGAGGCCATGAGAAGGGAATTGGCGAATGGATCAAAACAGGTGAATTGGTAACCTCTCACAGTTCACCGCACTGGACCCACCATGACCACAGTTGAGCACCACGGGGTGCAGCAGCAGCAGGCCGCAAACCCCACAGGAGAACTGCTGCTGCCAGTACGCCAGAAACGTCCCCTCCTTTGCACTCAACGGCTTTCCTCTGCCCTCCCCCGCTCGCCCATCCCCTCTTTCTTTTCCCACGCGCCCCTCCACTGTTTTCTCCTGCGCCGGGTCTCTCATGCGCGCGCCAGCTCTGCTCGTGGGCTCCGCCTCCGCCTCAGGCAGTGAGGGCGCGGAGGGCGCGGAGAGCGCGGGAGGGGCGGAGGGCGAGAAGGTCCCCATGGCCCTCTCCTCCTCCGCGACGTCCCTCGCGCGCGCGCGGTAGTCCGCGGGGAAGGCGGAGGAGAGGAAGCGGTGCAGCAGCCAGCACACTCCAGGGAAGTGCGCGAAGGCGCGGCGGCACATGGGGCAGCGGCTCTCGCTGTAGGGCGTCATGGCGCGATGCACGCACCAGAAGCAGAACACGTGTCCGCACGCTGAGAGGGGGAGGGAGTGGGAGGGGAGGGGGGATAGGAGAGAAAGCGAGGAGGGGAGCGGGGAGCGTAGCTCTGTATCAGAGGGGGGGGAGGTGAACGACGGCTCATTCTTGAATTCGGTACCGACGGGGTCAGCCAATTTGCTGGTCGCACCCGACTAGGTCGGAAGACAACGTCTCCTGGCCGCAGCCGTCAATGAGGACGGTCGCAGGTGAAAACGCACCGTTAACGACGGGTTTGAAGACCAGATCGCGGCAGATAGGACAGAGAAAGTCATCCATCGAGAGGAGCACGGTCGCGGGTCGCACAGGCGGACGGGTCGACGGCGGCAGGACTAGCTGTGCATCGTACGGCGCTGATTTTGCCACGTCACCCTCGTCTGTTGGTTCGGTTCCACCAGCGGCGTCCAGGACGTTACGATCTCCCTCCACAGAGCCATCCATCTCGCCTTCACCTGCTTTGCGGGCTAGGGGGCGCGGAGGCGCGATGTAGTGTGGATGGAGGCTAAGACGACGCGGCGACGCAACGCCCCGGGCGTCGAGGAGCAGGGCCTGCTGCGAGGGTTGCTGCGCGACGCAGTCAGGCGAGCCCGCTTAGTTCAAGGGAAACATATAAGCGAGGGGGCGGGCGGTGTCAGTCTGGTTCTTAAAACCCGCAGGCCAAGAATTTCAACCTTAGGAAGGTTGGTTGGGAGTGAAAACGCAAAAGGCCTGCGAACCAATAGGAGTGTCCGAAATGTTGGACGAGGTCTAGAATTCGGGAATGATCACAGTGATACATATCAGGGTTGAAACAAATTACATAATGAAAAAAACAAACTATCGACTTCGAACATGTCGATGTAGTATAATCGTCAGTATCTCCGCCTGTCACGCGGAAGATCCGGGTTCGATCCCCGGCATCGTCGCGCTATTTCATCACCGCCAACCCGGATCTTGCATGTCATGTTCACCGTGTGTCTGTATGTGTTACGATCACCGTCGTGACTCGGACCGCCCTCCCCTGAGGCGTCAGTGTTGGAATGAACTGCTGCTGCTGCTCGCGTGGCACCAGGGTGGCGGGAAAAATTTCACGTGGCGAAAATTTTCGCCACAGTTTCCCCGTCAGCCAAAATTCGAATCTGCAAAGGGCATCTCCCAACATTACCCATTCGCCACTTCATCATCCTTATCCCCAGTCAGCAAGGCACACTTCCATTTTCACCCAATACAAATCCTTCAATCTTCCACCTCATATCTTCTCCAATCCTCCTCAACCTTCTCCTCCACCAATCAATCCAAAGATTCCCTACCAAGCCTTAAATCAAAGCCCCATTCATTCCAATCACCAAGCCTTAATTTCAAGGCCACATTCATTCCACTCACCAAGCCTTAAATTCAAGGCCACATTCATCACCCCCACCTTATCCAACTTAACCAATCACAATCATTCATCTCCTCCTCTTCTTCATCCAACCTCAAGCTCCACCAAATACAAAACAAAAGGTCCACCCCATTCTTCAAACATACTTTTCAAGCAAGTTTTTACCTAAGCTCTGCACAAGTTCTACTCCAAGCTCTCACAAGGCCACTTCAAAGTCCTCCCCCTCCTGCCCAACTCCTAAGGCTCCACTCACCACCAACCTCTCCCAATCCAAGCTCATAGCCATGTTCTCCAACTCTAGAGAAGTTTATGCTTCATAGTCTTTCTACTAGATTGTTATCAATGGTTGCTCTTTAAGTCCATCATGTACCTCCTTTGGACCAGTGCATTTTAAGTTTTGAGGCCTCAACATCAACATTTGACTTTCTTCTAATCAAGACTCAAGCTTCACCTTCAACACTCAAGCTTGGAGGTTCTTCTCTACACAATAAACAAGATCTACACCTCAACACTCAAGCTTGGAGGTGCTTCTCGACTCAACAATCAAGCTTGGATCTCACTCTCCTTCCAACAATCAAGATTCACAATTCAAGCTTGGCTTCTTCAAGTTACAAAGCTCCTTCAAAATGACAAGTAAGACTCTTTAAGGTAAGTCACCTCCTCATTTCACTCTTGTCAAGTTTCTCAATTAAAGCTTCCCTATTCAAAGCCTCTTCATTCTTATCAAGTCTCCTTTCTTCTCAAATCTTAGTTTCCATTATCAAGTTTGTTTATTTTTTCAAGCTCTTTTACCTTCTCATCAATCACCCATTCAATATCTTTCTTTCAATCAATTGTTCTCTCCCTTTAATGTCTTCGTCATCTTCCTTTCAAGTTTGTTATTTTTATCCTTAACCTTATTAGCCTTTACGTTCTTACTCAATCTCTTCTTCATAGGTTTCTTTATCTTATCAATTTTGTCTTACGTCACTCTTAACTCTTTCTTCTAGGAGTTTTCTTTCTCTCTACTTGCTATTTACGCTTCCTAATCCTTTACTTCACTTTTCAAGATGGTATCAGAGGCCGAGTTTGTTCCTTTTGATGCTTTCCCCGTGCGCTTTTCCTAAAAGTTCATTATTGCTTGCCATTAGTGGTTTTCTTGCACTCGGTCTTGTACCCCTTTGTGGGGTTTTCTTTGTTGTTTTTCTTCTCTCTGTATTCGTGTGCGTGTGTATGTTTGTTTTGTTTGTCTATTTCCCCCTTTGTTTGCGTGAGATTGCTTTGTTACTTTCAGGAATTTTGGTTCAACATGGCTGACAAAGATTCAAGTGTTCCAACAGGATCAACTTCATCTGCTGTCTCCACCAACTCTTCAAATGAAGCAGCACCTCTTACAATCAACGCACCATCCCCTTCACCATCTACTTCACCATCTACATCCACCTTTACCTCCTCCTTAGTCCCCAAATTGGAGCTTCCACGCTTCAATGGCAAAGGCTTTTCGTCATGGAGCATCCGTTTTCAACAAGCCGCCACTCTTCTTGATCTTTGGCCTATATACATCGGTCAAATCACTCCCCCTTCAACTGCTGCACCTGCTCAAGAACAAAGCAACTGGATCAAGAGAAATGCTGAAGCCTACCTTTACCTTCTCTCCTCCGTCCAAGATACTTACTCTCAACCCCTCCTCCTCGTATCACCTCAAAAGGACAGTGCCAGAGCTGCTTGGGAACGACTCAACCATCTTCATCAACCTGTTTCTCAAGGCTCTAAGGCAGAAGCTTGGAACAAGGTCGTGTCTCTTCGCATGGGGGATAGTGAGTCCATCCCCGACTACTTACAACGTGGCGAAATGGTTCTTTACGAAACTACACTTCTCGATCTTGAAGTACCGGAGCCCCTCTTCATCACCATTCTTCTGGCTGGACTCTCATCTACTTGGAGCACAATGAGGAGCACAATCCAATCATTTCCTGAAGAAACAAGGACCAGAGATTTCATCTTCAACACACTCATCACTGACCACCAGACAAGAGAGCTTGCAAAGCTTCAAAGGGACTCTGGACCAGCCTGGAGTGGAATGACAAACGCCAACTATCGTCCTCAACAAGGAGTTCAACAACAGAGTAAGTTTCAGCAAAGTAAGTTTCTTCCAACCCAAGCACACTTTGTTCTTGGACAACCCACACCTAATCACATTTCTCAGCTTGCATCATATGCAAATCAGATTCCTTACAAACCAAAATCAAGATATCAGTTTGAGTGTCATTATTGTCATACATGGGGTCATCCTTGGTTTAAATGCAACATACGTCCTGCGAACTGGACACCACCTTCTTCTCTACTTTCTGACAAAGGAAAGGCTGCCCTTGCAATCACATCCCATACCCTTCCAGGATATCAACCGGACAATGCGCATCATGGACCATATTTTCAGAATGCTTCCCAAGTCTCATCTCAAAACCAAGTCTCTGTTTCCTCTGTGCCACAACTCTCTTTCACTCCAGAGGCGCCTCCTCAAGCCACCACTTCGCAGACGCCATCCGCTTCACATGAGAAAGATTCCACTCATTCAAATACACCGAGTTTTGCATTTGCATCATCCTCTTGTCTCCATGCCTTTACCCAGGACCCCAAGACTTGGTTTTTGGACAGTGGATGTGATCAACATATGACTCCTCATGCTTCCCTTCTCCACAGCCTCAAGCCCTCCAACGTGAAAGAAGTGGTTGTTGCCAGCAATCATTCGGTGCCAGTTGAAGCAGAGGGCACAATGACATTCCTCAGCCCAGAGGGAATCCATATGTCATTCTCAGGCATCTTGCTTGTCCCCTCACTAGGGGCAAATCTTCTCTCAATTGGTCAAATGGAAGAAAAAGGTATCTCTATTTCCTTCTCAGATGGTTCTGTGCAGGTTCATGCTCCAACTCGGCATCCTATTGCAAGAGGTGTTCGAAATGGACGTCTCTATCGAGTGGAGATTGATGCACAACCACCTGTCAAGCCCTATAGCAGTCCCTCGACTGCTGCTGCTACCACCTCGGTAAGACTTCACCCTGGAACATCTGCATCCCCTTACACTTGGCACTGTCGTTTTGGTCATCCTGAAGAGTCTAGTATCACACGCATGCAAGCTCATGCAAGTGTTGATGGTCTTATCATCTCCAAGCAACTGTCATCTTCTCATTCATCGTGCCATACTTGTGTTGAAGCTAAGCTCCCTCGTCATCCTTTCTATTCTTCTGAGTCTGAAGTCTCTCAACCACTTGAGCTCATACATAGTGACCTGATGGGTCCTTCCCGTACTCCGAGTCGTACAGGGAAAAAGTCACCTGACTGGCGCCGATGTCACTATTCATACCGATCACAAGTCACTACATTAGGCGCGTAACGCAACCTCAACCCGTGACAAATCAGGTGGCTCGATTACATGGAGTCACATTTTAACAATCGCATCATATACAAAAAGGGGGCCAATAACATCGCCGATTTGAACTCGCCCGACAGTTCAATCTAGTGCAGTAGTAATCACCCATTTGAACTCGCTCCTTATATGGCCATTCACCCACGGCTACACGACGAACCCGTTCTTCACGACCGGCAGTCATCGGCAGGTGACAACGTGAAAAGGAGAGTACTACCTAAAAGCTGTGAAAGAATTGAGGAATGTGGAATGGTGTTTCACTAGCAAACATTGTGATACATATAGCAAACCCTAACAGGGCTGTACTCACTATAGAGTACCCCACTGCAGACTAGAGAAACCTAATATTCTGACACACCCCCATAGTCAAAGTGGGGTATGATCAGCACAACAAGCAAAGCAAAGCAAGCTCAGGGTGGATCACAATGTCACCACACATTCTGAGCACAAGTACAAGAAGCAACAGTTTAAAGTTCACAAATGTAAGCAAAGCTAGAGGCTATCGCAGAGGGCAAGTGTGGAGGAGGAGGGACTATGAGAGGAGAGGAGGTAGTGGGCGGCAGCTGAAGCTGCTGGCACACGGGAGCAACTGGCACACGGGCAACTGGAGCAACTGGCACACTGGCAACTGGAGCAACTGGCACACGGGCTACTGGAGTAACTGTCTCCGCGGCTAAC